ATCTTTTCATCGAAAACGGAAAAAATTTTTTAAGTTAGTTGTTTGCTAGCACAAATCGTAGGTTATACAAAATTTCTGTGATGCATATAAAAAAAAGGAAATAACAGCTCACTGCAAAATGTTTTGAAGAATAATGTCCAATCTTCAAAAATATGCTTAGAAGCTTTAAAAAACCACAATTTCTTAGGGAAAATTGCAATTACTTTTTGCTAAAATATAGATAAAACAGAACAGTTTAGACATCCATAATAGTTCACGGATATTGCGTTAGCGGCGCTAGTGCTACAATTGATCACTATGAATACGTTCGGAAATTCGCTATTAGCGTTACATGTCATTCCATCTTTGTCATATATCTAAGGAAAGATAAAGATAGAATGACGCGATAGCGCTAATAGCGAACACCTTGAACGCATCATAAACTTTATGTGAAATGTGTGTACATACAAATAAATTGCTCACACAGCATAAGAGAAGGAAAGTTAGTAGAATGAGGATATAGGATAGTGCAACATCCGTGTATAATAACTATTATAGATGTCTAAACTGCTCTATTTTATCCATATTTGAGCCAAAGCAATAGCAATTTTCCATAAGAAATTGTGGTTTTTTACAGCTTGTAAACCTATTTTTGAGGATTGGACGTTATTCTTTAGAACATTTTATAGTGCGCAGTTTTTTTCTTTTTTTTTTTATATGCATCGCAGAAACTTTATATAACGTACGAATTGTGCTAGCAAACAGCTAACTTAAACATTTTTTTTCGTTTAATCTATGTCTTTTCTTATACATACTATGTTGACGGCATATCATACTTAATCTAAAGACAGGGTGCAGCTATCAAAATATATTAAACGTTGGAAAGTCGTTATAAATAATGACCTCTGAAGCAGGGTCTACAATAGAAGTCGTAGAAATTGACCAATTGCGGTCGAATATTCTTCCCGTACTCGACTACCCAGCAAATACAACGTCATGTAACATACATGTTAGTTGTAATTTCCTAGTCAACAATATATATAACAATATATATAACATACATGTTATATAACAGTTATATTATTGAGTAGGAAATTACAACTAATCTACAATTAACAATGGTTGCTTTCCAGCAAGAGACACAAGTCGACACAAGTATCATCCTATCTTTGTTTCTCACTAAATGTGGAACAAAGACAGAATGATGTTTATGTATATGAATGAAATACGCATGGGAAAATGTACAATATATGTAACGTGAACTATACATTTTCGCATGCGTATCTCATTCGCATACCGTCAAGAATTGAGCCCCAGATTGGTTTTTATAATCATGTACACTAGAGAACCTTTAATACAGAGAATCGCCAACTTGGTCATGTGACCAGCTACTCAGCTACTCTGCGATTGGCTGGCATAAACATGTACGGAT